TAGATCCCTCGATTTATTACCAACCAGATCCATTTATATTGGGCCAATTGTAACAATTGTGAGCTTACGCCTCATGGAGTTGTCAGATTTCTTTCCTGAATTACCAACACAACTAGCCTCAAAAACAACGCTTTCTTTTCGAGTACTGAAGCCTCTCACCATTCCTGAGCGCTATAAATAAATTGAAAACTACGAAAAAAAAACCTCTAAGAAAATCAAGGGTCATTTGACAACATTATCATCACATGATGGAGTTTCCCGGCCCGCCTGGAGTTTCGATCCGCTGAGCCTTTCGTCTCCTTCAGTGGAGGAATGAGGCTCAGGGTCTCATGAGTGAACATAGAATTCATTGGTGAAGGTTAAAAACTTTTCGCCACAATCCTTTAGGCGATTATAGTAGCCGGGATGTCGTCCTGTGTTATGTAAAATCAAGCCACCTGCCAACGCTTTGCCCCCCTTTCTGGGCAGGAGTAGAATCTCAGTAGGACTCATCCAGTGATTTGGGTGTGTTTGGTGTCTTGAATTTTCAACGGGAGGTTTGGTTTAACCGGCTGGGAGAGTTTAGACCGAGCAATCAAATGTAACTTGGGCATAGCTCTTCTTTGGAGCTTCAATGCGAGGCTGTTTTGGGCAGAGAGAACTTTCAAACATTACTGCATGGACGAGAGCGATTGTGAGAGCCTTGTCAGAGGTCGCCCATGTTTTGGTCTAGTTCGATCACTGGCAAACGCGCTAGCGGGAGCACCCTACTCTCAACTACCAAAATGTATCGTGCGTTATTGGCACATCATCCTTGACGAACATATTGTTCTTTTCATACTCTTTGGCTCCAGATGTCATTGCACGCGTACCCATCCATTGGGTCTTGGTGCTTGACCAGCCATACAACTCGCGCTCACCCTATCGGATTGTTGACATCCCAAAGACTCATCGTGATACTTTAATACATGCCTTGCAAATTCATGGGAATTTCATTCGATCTATGCGTAGATACAAGTTGAGTATCAAGCCCCATCCCAGAGACGGTGCAGATGGCTAAAGCGACGCTTATCGCGGACCAGCATTCACGAACGTGCAAGTTGTCCTTAATTCTGGCTGTCTATCTCCTCCTGAATGCGTGCATTCATGTATCATTTGAAGCTGGCTCAGTCGAGCTGGGCCGTCACCTCGTCCTATTCTGAGCTCACCAGAGGCGCAGCTGAAGTCAAATTTAGCCATAACCCCGTATAGTTATAGTTCCATCGCGTCATTATAGATGCAAATCTACACTAGAGGCTTCGTATTCCACCGAGTGATTCTTGCGAGAAGGTAAGGTCCATGCTCACGTCGCACAACGAGCTTGGATGAGCGCTTGGGATGTACACCAACATCAACGTCAATTCATCTACACTCTGGATCTACTCTTCTGTGTCAGATAGATATATACCAAGCATTGCTTGGGATGTGGGGTGGGGCCGTCCATTGGCACCCATGCCACGGAACCCCCAGGTAAAGTCTAGAGGGTCTC